CCTCGGTGGTCTCAAATATTCTAAACATTTACGGTTATTCGCCTGTTGCTGATCAACCCACATCCAAATGTTTACGCGAGAATATCTGCAGGCGAACCCCACGGGCACAGACCCAGAGGCCTTACGTGAGGTAGTTTTTTATCTTTCAGACGATAGTTATAACTATGCTCACTCCGAATTCTCTAGTGTTTGCACAGACGGCTGTCTGATTAGCCTCCCCTCACAAGCGTTATAGAATGCGACAGATTGAAAAAAACCAAACTGCAAGTTACCTTAAAGAACTTTCCCAGGGCAATGTAATCGAGGCCGTCTGAACAGTTGAAGACAACACACTGTTTGGCCACTGCCTTTGCCAAATCCTTGGTTGTCTCGGTCTTGCCTGTTCCGGCGGGACCCTCCGGAGCGCCACCCAGATGCAGATGCAGCGCTCCAAATAGGGTCCGATAACAACGATCTGTCAGGGGTGTGATGACCAGACGTGGCGTATTGCCCAGATACTCGTAACCGTACCTAGTGGTGAACAAATTGATTAGTGCATATGATTAAGTTAGTCATCAAAAGGAAAAGAGCGGTGTTTGGAGATCGGATATTCACACTGATCCAGGTCTGCGGCCACGGATCGTCAAGCGTGGAGAAACACCGTGCGGGCCATCACTGAGACCGGCTAGATCAGTCATGATCGCAGCCGCAACAAGTACACGTAAAGTAAGTGTTCGGGGGTTTGCTGAGATTCTAGTGAATTAGGCTCGGACCTGTAAATGTATTATGTCGTGGTACGTGGTGACAGTAAGGAAGAGAACCGGTAGTAGTGGATGGATGGTGGATGATGCTTATGTGCTTGACACAGCTACAGTGGACAGAACCATATGATCTGATGAAGTGGAGCGCCCTGCTATCACCATATGATTTAGTTAGGAGAGGATATACAGTAGCTCTGCAGCCCGACTTCCTCCTAACTCATGACGCCACATACGAGGTAATTCCGCGCATAGGATCTCGCGCAAAGGCAGTTTTCAGAGTGCCTCGGGCCAGGCGCAAACCGACGCGCTACACCTCACTACTGGCCTCCCCGAGGAAGATCAGCAGGGTGGCAATAATCAGTTGGGATCTCAGCCACGCGAATTGTTTTGTAGCGCAGATAGTTTCACATGCCCTGTTATCATACTGAAGGCAGTCTTTTTGAACTTGAAATATCCACATTTTTAAATTGCCAAAAGGATGCATCCCGATCTCGACCAATCACACGCCGCACCCCTCGAGTATATAAGCCCGTGTGCAGGCCAGCCAAACTCATTATTTGCCACGCCTCATTTGGGTCAACATCTTCCTCTCGTGGCAGCTGCCCCAATGCTCTCCATCTCTGGCGTCCCGGCCTCCTTAGGTTTGGCCTAGCAGTTTTGTGGTGACTTACTCCACATAGGCGAGCATGTCCGAATGCCCACTGCTGCTAACGCGTACGTC